GAACTTCTGGAGGGCATCAAAGTGTTATATACAATATATATGTTTCATATTTTAAATTTTGACTGTGGTAGCAGATATCTGGCTATATACACTTCTTAAAAGTCACTGAGCTCTACATTTAAAATGGGTGTGTGTTATTATATGTAAATTATAACTTAATGAAACTGGTTTAAAAAGAAAGTCCACATAAAACTATACAACACAAAATGAACAAGGGGAAAAAAAATCCCAAAGTGAGATGGACACCAGAGGAGGTACCCAAACTCAATTCCTAACATACAAGAAATTGACCCTTGAACCAGGAGGGGGTCAGAAATGCTGACTCTCCCCATAGCCTGACATCTGATGTTAACTTTACGTTCTGGATCACATAGTTCGTATTTACTGGAAAAAAAAAATTATCCATATATAAAGTGGACCGGTGCAGCTCAAATCCACCTCAAAACCTCAACTGTACACACAGGGTCAGTGATCTGGTTCTCTAATCTTCAAAAATGAACCTCTTGGTTGAAAAAGGTAATTATAGGGGGGAAAAAAAAATCACCAGAAGGCTCCAACCATGTTTCACTCTTTTCCCCGGATTTCATCACTGAGCTTTAGAATGTCAGTAAATGTTGTTAATGCCCATGATGATAGTAAGAGAGGGAAAGATACAGCAACTGCGCTTCATGTGCAAAGAACACACGATGACTGATGGACTCTGCATGACTCTCAGAGGAATGTGTGTTCAAAACCATATTCTAAGAAGTCAGCGTCAAATAATACATTTAAAAAATACAATTTAAATTCTGAAATGCAGTTCAGAAATACAATAAACCATGACTAAGTTTATGGAACACCATTATATGTGAATGGCACATTTCAGTTAAAAACCCACAAAAATGGAATGCCTCATTCCCCAAAGACCATGGCTATTTAAGTGAGACATTTTAAATGAGATATCTTGGATATTTAAACATTTCCAAGTACATAACTTAAGCTACCATTTATGAGTTTTACTTAAAAGACTAGGTACTGACTTGTAAGCCATTTCACCAACATTATCTCATTTAATCTTACTAACTCTATAAGGAAGGTATTACTCTCCGTTTTATAGATGACAAAATTGAGGTTAAGAGAGGTTAAGTGACTTGTCCAAAGCAACACAGAACCTTCAATCAGATTCAAATGACTATGCTTTTGTCCATTCCAGATTTATAATTCAGGATGTTACTTTTGCTATAAAATCATAAGCTTATTAACAAGCTATGCATTTTCTAATTAGTCATGTAAGCATCCTCAACCTACACAGTAATTTGAAGTTCAATGAGTGATATGCCAGCCCTTTATAAATCCATCTCACGGTTTTATGCATAATACCAATGCACTCATAAATATTAAAAATGTATTTTCCTCTTAAAAGTTCACATGCACTTATATCTGCTAATTAGAGGTCAACTGACCTTCTTTCCTTTCAAAGTCACTATAATACTGGGTCAAAAAAAAAAAACACTCAGAAAAACGTATGTTTCCTTTAAAACGTTTTTCTGATACCTTTCTAACCAGGAGAGTTTGAAGAAATTTGATGAAATCTCATACATTGTAAATAATCCAAAACCTGGTATAATGTGTTTAAGAAAGGTACCTGGAGTCGGACAGATTTCAATTCCGATAATGCCTGTGCCACCAAGTAGCTGAAAAGGCTGGCAGGTAGCTGATGCTAGAGGGATATTGGAGTTGTGTTTACTGCAGCATGTGCAGCTTTTATAAACTTCCTACGTTTGTCTTTTAACGTGCATACTCCAAGTTATAAACAAAATCTGTACCTAAACCTTGTGTGTGGGCTGGGGAGAGAGAAGTGCTTTTGTTTTTTGGCATAAAAGAAGGCTTAATAGACATCAGGGCCCCCAGGAACACCCATCTCAACTTCCCCAGACCCCCATCCTGGGCCTACATGAAGTATCTTCTCTGTACCTGGTAGTTAGAACTTTGATTCCCCCCAGAAACAGCAAGATCACTGGTGGCTGGGGTTGGGACCTACCACTTTCAAGGCGAAACCTACACCTGTAAGCTGACCTGGGAATCTGCCCGTTTTTAGGGTTCTCACGGGAAAATAATTCTGAGCTCCAAAAAGCCAGCACACACATTTGCACGATACAACCCCTTTCGCCAGCCTTCTCTCTCTTCAATCAGCAGTCTAAAGATGAGCTATGCCCAGGGGGATTTCAAAGAGAAGCAACTCTCTCTTGTTCCAAAGGAGAAAACTGAGGCTCATGACCACATAGGCCGTTGGCAGGCCTTGGAATACAACACAAGGGCAGCTCCAAGTGCAAGTTCTTCTTGATAACCGCCACCAAACACTGCCCTAGCACCAGGTATTTCCAAGATGGCAGGCTCTCCTTCCAACCATGGGCTTAGGCTCCTTTTTTCTTTTTTTTAATCCAAGTCCATGGTCCTGTAAGCACAACACCAAAACCTCCAGGAAGAGCAGAATTTGGTATCACACCAACACAGCCCAACCTATCATGTCCCGAACACCCCTTTCTGCCTGGTGGGGCCAACCTGCATCTCCGGGGCCACAGTCCCCACCACACCCTTCCCCACTTTTATCTGCCCGGCCTGATTCCCGGTTGTTGCCTGGGCTTCTGCATACAGACAAGCTCCCCTGTGGGCTGACCCTGCCTGCAGACGTCACTCAGTAGCTGTGACAGGGAGCCCCCACCAAGTGCAAGGATCAGTGCTAACAGGGTTAACTTCCATCCCGCTCTCAGTACCCCACCTCACACAGAGGTCTGCCACGATCAGTGTGGGACCCTGACCTCCAAACTCCTTTAGCTGCAACCACAGTAATACTTTACTGCAACACAGGCACGCAACATACCAACCCCCACACACTCAAATTATTCAGGTTTGACATAATATCCTTGCTATGTATGATAAACTGATACTCTTCATCCTACTCCTCATTTTTTACAGTCTCGGAAAGACAAAAATCTAGCGGAGGAGGAAAGACCATAAAATACACACAATACATAAATGAAAATACAGTCATCCCTCAGTATCCATGAGGGGCTGGTTCCAGGACCCACCAGGCACCACAATCCACAGATGCTCAAGGTCCATAGTTAGCCTTCCATTCAGCATCTGTGGATTCAACCAACCTCGAATCGGGTCATGTATCCTTTTCGACACAAAAATCTCTTATAAAAAAATCAGATTCCTAAAATCTTCTAAGTTTATTTCTCAACCTACTAATGGATCCTGAGCTCCAGTTTGAAAAATAATTTTCAGTAACGTAACAGTGATTACCTTTATATAATGCCAGAGGTACACAAACACGCAAATACTTAGGTATGAGATCCCGCACCCCCCGCCCCCTCCCACCCGGCAACCCTCAAGTCACATCTTCTCTCTGCCCAAAGATGCAGAGGTACCACAAAGGAGAATCAGCATTTGGATGCCCCGGGTCAAGGAGAGAAGAGAGGACGGACCTGGGGCAGACTAAGGTGTCAGTCAAGTGCCATTCCAGGAGGAGGAAGAGTGCGGCTTTTCTCTTCCTCACCTGGGAAGTCTACACACTCTCAAGTCTTCCCCTTAGGTCAGGCTGCCCATTTCCCAACTAGACTGTCAGTGCTGGCAGGCAGGAACTTCTTTGTGAAAATCCTACACTCTACCCAGACATGACTGAAGCACGATTTAAAGTAATAATAAATGGTCAGTGGGTTATTTCTTAAATCTAAGATAACTTTCCTAATTTGTGGATTCTGTTAAACAGTAAAACTCTTCATTGCTAAGGACACTGGTTTGTTAGCGGGGAAAAAGGAAGGGGAGATGTGGGAGGGAAAAAAAAATCTAGAGGGAACACAAGAAAAGATCATAAATACATACAATACACAAATACATAAAATGTCAGATGCTGTTAAAAACAAAACCAAGGAGCTTTAGACTAAAACTGAAGAATTATCACCAAATACACACTGTACCCCTCTTCTGTCCAATAAAGTATGGCAAACCATATAGTAGAAATATAAGTTACAAGTCAAGTTACTTTTCTAGCTTACAAGAGCATAATTCCTTCAACTACTATGAGAGACAGGCATTTTCCAATGATAGAAAAACTAACTTTTTGTAAGGAGACAGATCTGGCACTGGTGTAGCAGCACCCTGACACTTAGGTCAAGACTGATAACACTGCTGAGACGATAAATAATTTACACCTGAGCAAGCCATGGAGCGTAAAACACGAACAGATGGACCTTTTGAGAAGTCACTTGATTCAAATTGTATATACAAGCGATTCTTAAAAACAGGAAGAAAAGGAAGGCACAGAGCTTTGGCAGAAAAGACTCTTAACAGGAGGCAGTGCTTTCCAGATCCTTCCAATAAATAATGGTTCAACATTGAGAATCTAGAGGCATTTCACCTGGAAGCCCACACATGGGGAAGCACGGATTCGGAAAGTTTACAGGCTAAATCTGAGCCATGGAAAGGCACTAACAAATCCTAATTTTGAAGCTCTCCGAGTTTCCATAATTTGTTTTAATTTACACCTATAAAGTTGTGGTCGAGGGTTGGTTGATGAGAAGCTGGAGGCTTAAAAGCTACCTAGATGAGGTGGGGAGGAAATGAAATCCTTTAGACCTGATCCCGAAAAGCAACCGGCCTTCTGAAACCAACCTAGTCCCCTTCACGTTAGTGGCATTCTGAGACGGGACGGGGACAGTGGATCAGCAGGCGGCGGCGGCAGACACCCCAGCCTGAAAACTCCTCCAGGCACACGGTGTCACACTCTGGCACGCTCACGCCTTCCCAGAGACCGCTCCGCGTTTGCTGAATGGAGAGGAACCCCAAATGAATGAATGGGAGAGAGACGTCTGGCCAGAGGCTCTGAGCAGGCAGGGCCTGGACAGCGCCGGGCGCCCGCGGGCGCGGGGGGACCCTCGAGGCAGCGCGGCGCAGGGCGCGGACCGAGGGGGCCGGGGCCTCGCCGAACAAAGGGGCGCGGGGGGCCGGCCACTCACCTCATCGCCCCACTTGAGCACGTCCTTGTGTCGGTCCTTGACGGCGTGGTAGATGTGCAGGAACTGGAGGATCCCGTGCCGCCGCACGTGGTCGGCGTGGCGCTGGGTCTCCTCCCAGCTCAGCGGCGAGCCCTGGGACAGCAGCCCCATGGCCGCCCCCTCTCTCCGCCCTCGGGGCCGGCGGCGGCAGCTCCGGGCTCGGGGCGCGCGGCGCGGGCCGGACGCTCAGCTGCCCGCAGAAGGCGGCGGCGGCACAGCCCCGGAGTGGGGTTGGGGGGCGCCCTCGGGCCCCAGCCGGCAGAGGGAGGGTCCGGTCCCCTCTGGCTCCCAGGCGCGGGGTCCTCGCCGCCCCGGGGACCGATCCAGGGGTCGGGCGCACCGCGCGGGCGGCGGCGGCGGCGGCCCCGAGGCCGGGTTGGCTGGTTGGCCCTCTGCCCTCCGCCCGACCCCTCGCCCGCTCTGGCTCCCGCACCGCTCCTGCTTCGAGGCGGCGGCGGCTGGCGCTTCTCTTTGCCGGTGTCGTGCACTAGCTCCTTCCTACTTGTGACCAAAACCTGCGCCGCCGAGCATGCCCAGTGCTCCCGTCCGCCGGCCGGCCGCCCACTCCCGGGCGCGAGAGGCCGCTCCGGATTTTATAGGCTGCGGAAGGGGCGGGGAAAGGGGCGGGGCCGGAGGGGGCGGGGCCGAGCCCCCCGCGGAGACTCTGGGGCCCGGGGTAGGCGTGCGGAGGCGTGGTTAGGGCGGAGTCCACGGGGAGCTTCCGCGGAGGCCGCAGTCCTCCTGGCTTTAGGCAAATGATCTCTGTGAAATTCCTTTTTTTGTAATCCGAAAAGAGAAACTGAGTTGGGGAAGAAAGTTGATTATCCGAGCTGATGAAGAATCCACCAGATTATTTTTTAGGTGAGAAAGGCCTCACAGTTATAAAAACAGGGTGAGAGCATTATGGTGTGGCAAGAAAATTTGTCTATAGGCTTTAAGATGTGAACATATTAAGTATTTGTATAGTCTCTAACTATTTGATGACATAGGTTCTTTGGATGGCACAGACACCATTCATCACAACCACAGGGTTGCAAGTCACCCATCAAGCGATTAAAACGACGATCCTGTGAGCTTACCATGGAGGTGGAAGATATTAGGAACTTCTGGAGTTGGCCCTATCTTGGAGGGAAAGGGAAGGAACGAGGTACCTCGCCACCAAATAATTGTTCAGATAATGTGTTAACAGAGAGATGAGATGACAGATGAGGCTAAAAGTGACAGCAGCTAAATCATACACATATTGAGATCAGAAAGTATGTACTTACTGTGCCAGCTTCTCTTACACCACAGCTAACATTTAGTGAGCACTGTGTGGATCACAACAAACTGTGAAAAAGTCTTCAAGAGATGGGACTACCAAACCACCTGACCTACCTCCTGAGAAATCTGTATGCAGGTCAAGAAGCAACAGTTAGAACTGGACCTGAAACAATAGACTGGTTCCAAATTGGGAAGGGGGTAGTCAAGGCTGTATATTGTCACCCTGCTTATTTAACTTATATGCTGAGTACATCATGAGAAATGCTGGACTCGATGAAGCACTAGCTGGAATCAATATCAATATCAATTGGGAGAAATATCAATAACCTCAGATATGCAGACGACATCACCCTTATGGTAGAAAGCGAAGAAGAACTAAAGAACCTCTTGATGAAAGTGAAAGAAGAGAGTGAAAAAGTTGGCTTAAAGCTCAACACTCAGAAAACTGAGAGCATGGCATCTGGTCCCATCATTTCATGGCAAATAGATGGGGAAACAATGGAAACAGAGACTTTATTTTTGGGGACTCCAGAATCACTGCAGATGGTGACTGCAGCCATGAAATTAAAAGATGCTTGCTTCTTGCAAGAAAAGTTATGAGCAACCTAGACATCATATTAAAAAGCAGAGACATTACTTTGCCAACAAAGTTCTGCCTAGTCAAAGCTATGGTTTTTCCAGTAGTCATGTATGGATGTGAGAGTGGACTACAAGAAAGCTGAGCACCAAAGAATTGATGCTTTTGAACTGTGGTGTTGAAGACTCTTGAGAGTCCCTTGGACTGCAAGGAGATCCAACCAGTCCATCCTAAAGGAAATCAGTTCTGAATATTCATTGGAAGAACTGATGCTAAAGCTGAAACTCCAATACTTTGGTCACCTCATGCAAAGAACTGGCTCATCTGAAAAGACCCTGATGCTGGGAAAGACTCAAGGTGGGAGGAGAAGGGGATGACAGAGGATGAGATGGTTGGATGGTGTCACGGACTCAATGGACATGAGTTTGAGTAAACTTTGGGGAGTTGGTGATGGCAGGGAGGCCTGGCATGCTGCAGTCCATAGGGTCGCAAAGAGTTGGACATGACTGAGCAACTGAACTGAAGTTACTGATTGCCAAATGGATAAATGATCATAGGGGTCTCTTCTCCCCACCCTTCATATTGGACTTGCCCATCTCAGAGTCTGGGGACATGGATATCCAAGGTCTGGCTGTAATGTCCACAGGGATGTGTGTGTGTGTGTGTGTGTGTGTGTGTGTGTGTGGAGTGTGAGTGGGGATGTGAGGCTATTTGAAGCTCAGAAGATAATGTTTCAATCATCTGTTTCAACAGCTGGTTTAAAAATCAAGACTCATTCTACTTTGCCCATAGCCCAATCTTCTTTGTGCTCTCCCCACCAATCACAAGATCTGTGTGGTTCTGACTTTCTGCTGTTTTTCTCTGGTTGGAATTCTCCACTTGACACAATCCTATTCTTTCGTTGGGTCCCAGTTACTCTTCTCTGTATTTTGGTTGTGTTTGTACATATCACTGTTTCTACATTATGATAGAATCGCCACGCTAGATAGTGACTTCCTCTGGGATAGAGTTGCTTCAGGCCTCTTGTATCTTTAGCTCTAAAAAAGTGCTTGGTGTAACTGGAAGGAAGGCGGTCTGGGGATGGGGAGGAAGGATAGTGTTGGTCACTGTTTCACATCCAAGCCAGGCATCCAAAGGATCATTTTGTAATTCTTATAATCTTATCTCACATATGCATACCCTAGCATTGTTCAGTACAATAGCCATTAGCCACATGTGGCTGAGCACTTGAAATGTGGCTAATTGGAAAAACTGAATTTTACTTTGATTTTAATCCACTAAAATAGAAATTTTTAAACCGATATCCTATGTGGCTACTGGAAGACTTCTAAGTAAATTTGGAACAGATTGGGAGTGTGAAATCCACTTTTTCATCTGTTAATTTGGTGAACTCTAAATACAGAGCAAGTATTTCCAAAGAAAATTTAGTGGACTGGAGATGGCTTGTGAGGGTAAGACACATACCAGATTCAAGGTGACACACACAAAGAACGTAAATATCTCATTAGTGATTTTATTTTGATTACATGTTGCAACAGTAATATTTTCAATATATTACTTAAATTAATTGACCTCCAGGATGCCTTGTAAAGACCAAGGGAAGCCATATTTAACGACATTCATTTTCCTCTATTAGTATTTTGCATTTTTTGGTTTACTTCTAGAGTTTGTTTCGTAGATTGCACCACGGTTGGCTTTCGACTTCTGGGAGTGAGTTCTCAGCAGCGGACAGCCCCACACAGAACGTTCAGGGCTTTAACGATGGTTAGGACGAAAAGAAGGCGCTTGGAGCCTGCAGAATCAGCCTTCTCCAAAGGCGGATTCCGGGTCAGTTCTGCAGAAGAGAGCAAGACCCACTGGGCCAGAACCCGGTGACTCTACGGACACCGCATCCGGCCCTGCAGGCACCGGGTCCAGCGGCAAGCCGCGCCCCCAGGGCCGCGCGGAAAACCCGGGCGCCGGAGCCTGGCGCGGCGCGGCGGCGCTCTGCGCAGGCTCCGAGGGCCGGCGGGGCGCGCGGGAGGCGGCGCGGGCGCTGCACGCCGCGCCGTTGTTGTGGTCCGGCCCCCGGCACGTGACCGCGGCCCGCCCCCGCGCGCGGCACCGCCTCCCCGTGACTCAGCACTTCATGCCGGCTTGGTCCCCGGGGTCAACCCGGGAGAGGCTGCGCGGGGTCGGAGTGTGCTCCGCCGCTCCCGCCCCGGAGGCGGCGGTGGCCGCGGGTGTAGCCGCTACCCTTGCAGTCTCTTCGGTTTTCCGGCCTCCGGGCAAAGAGAAAAAATATATAGTGTTTCCCTGGAGCCAGGTCGCTCTGGGTTTCCCCTGAGTCAGCAGCTCCGCGGAGAACCCGCAGCTGGGCTTGCCTGAGGCGATGACGGAAGCAGAGGGCCGTGCTTAGGGGTCTCTAAGCCTCAAGTCGTTTGCAGGTGACCTGTCCAGTCCTTACTGCTCCGTTTGGCCTGAGCACCTGCTAGATGGTCTCTTGGGTGGTGTCATTTCAGCTCAGTCCAGTCGCTCAGTCCTGTCGAACTCTTTGCAACCCCATGGACTGCAGCAGGCCAGGCCTCCCTGTCCATCACCAGTTCCCGGAGCTTGCTCAGACTCATGTCCATCGAGTCGGTGATGTCATCCAACCATCTCATCCTCTGTCGTCAATACCTTACTCTTTATGCCTGCTTTCTACCAAGCTCTTTGAGCTGGAAGTCTATGGAACAGCCGGCCCTGGTTGTTTCCTTGTTCTTGGATGAGGCTTCAGAGATCCAGTGAACAGGTCGTTGCTATGCAGAGTTGAACTGCAGTGTGAATTTCAAAACCTGTGCACTTCCTGCTGCATCTCGAATCCTGCCTGAAGCTGAGGGCCTCCTTCCGCGGGACTCTTCTTGGGTCTTGATACCACCACAGCCTTCCTGTTCCAACACACCTCTCCCCCAAAGACCTGGTCTGCCAGTGAGGGGCTTAAGATTTTCTTCCTTTTTACTTAATTATTGGTAGAAAATAAACACACAGTGCTATTTCTTAACTTCAGCATACATGATGCAAATGATGTGGAAAGGATTTTTTCCCTGCAACTGCATGGTGTTCAGAATTTGAATTGATTATAGTGAAGAAGGCCCCGGAGCCTTAAGATAGAAGAACAGTAGCCAACAGAAGCTACCCGGCTTCAGATCTAAGCAAAGCTGTGTCATCGTCAGGGACCACCCCCTCCTCACTCTTCACCTGTTTCAGTGAGAATCTGGAGGAAATGTGGTTTCCTTTCCAACCTAAACAGCTC